TCCCAAACAGCTAACACGGCCCAAACAGGCTACGGGATCCGCTCCCTAAGGGTGGGACTAATCCACCCAAGAAGTGCATAGTGCCCCATCCATACACCCCACGATAACTCTCAAGCAGCTAACACGGCCCAAACAGGCTACGGGATCCGCTCACTAAGGGCGGGACTAATCCACCCAGGAAGTGCATAGTGCCCCATTCATACACCCCACGATAAGTTGGGTTCGATCCCACGACCTCTAGCATCCACAACTCTTACACTTCCACCATCAGCCATGGGACTACATGCCCCAGGGGCTACTCTATAATCAACATAATACATATTTTCATTAAATCTTTATTTATAATAGATCAAGATATATAAAATATTAATATCTGATAATGGTTCGACAAATAATATGAGTATGAATAACATTAAAAATTTATTTTCTACGACTTAAATTATATATATATGTATATATATATATATTTTTTTTCAATCTTAGTGAATATTTTAATAAATAATTGATACGTTTCTTAGTAAATTTATACAAATGTTTTGCATTTATTTATATTTTTATTAATTTTTATAATAATAATTTAAATAGTTAAATGTGTAAATGTATCTAATGAAATTATAGTTTTTCATTAAAATAATTTAAAAAATAAGAATAAAAAAATATTTGGTGTAGAATAAAATGTAGCGCAAACGGTTGGAAATGAAATTTGCTTTTTGTTTAACTTTATCCTAAAGTAGAGTAATCTCAACACTATAGTAGAGATAAAGGCTAGAGATGACATTAGAATATAACATGTTATTCTAAATGAGTAATGTCATTATTAGATAGACATGACCATAAGGGTGTGCTTTGGTATAATTTTTTCATTACATGTCTTGGTTTTTTTGAGTTAACTAAAAAGTTTGTTGAAATAAGTTTGAATGGAATTTTGAAATTGTATAAAATAATATTTAAAATAAAATAATTAAAGTTGTTTTGATGTAAAAATAAGAAAAAAATAATTAAGAATGATGAGTAGTTAAAATTGTGCAAATGAATGAATAGTTAAAAATGAATTAAATTTGAGTTTTGAATGAAAATATTCAATTAAAATTTATATCCAAGCACCACCTATCTATTTATAATTTTTATACACACATGTATCTATCGGGAAATGCTACGGTCCCGTCAGATCATTTATCTTATATTAACTACATGTGTATCCAACGGTTAGAACTCCCGACGAGATAGTTCCTTAACCAGACCATAGTATTTCCCGTATATATAATCTATAAATTAAAAAATATTACAATATATAATATAAAATAAATAACTTCATTATAAAATAGAACTGGTTGACTCATCTAAAGATTAATTAAGTCATTATAAAGCAAAATTATGAAAGAATAAATATAATCATTTATTCATTTATATATATATATATATATATAGGAAAATGCTACGGTCTCGTTACGGAACCATTCGGTCGGAGTTTGTAACCGTTAGATCATCATGTAACCGTCGGATATAGTTGATCTAAGGGATACAAACTCCAACGGAATGGTTCCGTAATGAGACCGTATATTTAAAATTTCCACCAACCCAACTCATGTACTGGCAAAGCCATGGCCAACTGCCCTTCAACTCGGGCAATTGGCCAACTCCTCTTCTATCTCCTTCCCCTCTTCCAAAAGTCGAAATCATAGTCAACTCGGCCGATTCAATAAAGCACAAACTCAGCACATTTTCAGGCAGCACACCCACAACCAAACGCAGCTGAAGGAGCACAACAAATAGCAGGAGAAAAATGGTGGGTCCGGGTCGCCCGCAGTTCGTGCTATTCGGGTCGTCCATAGTTCAGATGAGTTTCAACGTCGGAGGCTGGGGCGCCGTTCTCGCCGACCTTTACGCTCGCAAGGTACCCTTTTTCGTCTCTCAGTTTGATGTATTAAGTTCAATAATTTGCTGTACTCAGGTTATAGTTTTGTTTAATTTTGCTGTTTCTTGTCGAGGGCCTCGTTTATCTTTCCCATTGATTTCTGAATCTGGCTATGGTTCCAGATATTGAGATTTGTTGATTGCTTGCAATTGGATTTGCGTAATTCATAATTGATTCAGGATATGTAATCTTGAAAGTTGGATTTTTTTCCCCCCAAAGGATTATGCCCTTTTTGGCGATTTTTGACTTAGAAGTTTGACACTCGTATGCTTGGAGTAAAATTTCGGGAAAATGTTACAGTCCCGTTATGGAACCATTCCGTTGGGATTTTGTAACCATTAGATCATCAAATCATGGATAGTTGATGTAACGGTTACAAATCCCGACGGAATGATTCCGTAAAGGGACGGTAGAATCTCCCAAAATTTCGTACTCCTTTTGTTTCATTCTATCCCATTAGATGGATGAGTGACACACGAACATGATGATGTCATATTTGTACATGTGTCATTCATTAATCCAACGAAATGAAAACACTGAATGAAAAAGGAGAGTGGAACATGAGATCTTATCCATGTATGCTCATATGCTTGTGGGCAATTGTAGGTGGATTCGAAGTGTTTTGGAATGTTTAAGGTCAAAAGATGGCTAATGCAATAACTGAATTTTGTGGTTTTTCTCAAGGCTCTTTTTGAAGCTTGACTTCTTATGGGATATTGATTTTTCATAATTCGGTTCTGAATAGTTAAATTGCCGTTTAATGATGGTATTGGTTGACATTAATGGAAGCTTCTGATTGATTATCCTCTTGTTGGTTAGATTTTGGTATTTCAATGATCTTGTGATTGCCTTTTTCTGATTAGTAAAGTGATGTCTTTTTAATTTTCAGAGAGGTAACGACATTTTGTATGAATGGTTAGTTGTGTTCTGTTTTTCTTCTCCTGTTGGGATTTGCAGACTCGTAAGATGAAAAATAGTATTCTTTGTAAAAGTTTTTTAGAATGTACTGTCCATTTGATAAGGTAATGAACTATTTGTTTCGATAATTTTGTAAGGCTGATGTGGTGCTAAGAGGATACTCCGGTTGGAACACTAGGATGGCTCTCGAAATATTGGAAAAAGTTTTCCCCAAGGTATATAGAATATTAATTCATAACAAGTGTAATTAATCTAGTTAGATATATATAATGATTCGTTCATAATTTTTCCATGAAAATATATTTTTTCGCTCCTCCATCGATGGAATTTCTCGTACAAGAGAATTCATTTCTTCATGCATAATTGTAAGCGATAGTAAAAGTTATCCCTTTTCAATTTTCACTCGAGCTAATGGCGAGTTTTTTTTTTTTTTTTTTTTTTTTTTTTTTTTTTTTTTTTTTTTTTTTTTTTTTTTTTTTTTTTTTTTTTTTTTTTTTTGAGTTCAGGATGCAGCTATTCAACCTTCTTTGGTTATACTGTATTTTGGTGGTAATGATGCAACGAACCCTCATCCGAGCGGCCTCGGTTCTCACGTGCCTCTTTCTGAATTTATCGATAATATGAAAAAGATGATTGTTCATATCAAGGTTCGTTTTCACAGTATTAGGTGTGCACCAGTATTTACTTATGTAATTAATGACTGCAAAAAATGAACTATTCTGACAATATTTTTTTCGGCCAATTTTCAGAGTCTTTCTGATAAGACGCGGATAATATGTCTGACATCGCCTCCCGTTAATGAAGCAAAAGTTCGCGAAATTTTTGGGTAACCACACAGTATATGTTATAATAAAGTTTGCATTCTTGTTCACAAGTTCTATTATTTTTTTCTTCCAACCTACTTATGGATCTCTCGAATAATTAGGAACGGGCTTGATGATCAAGCCCGGACGAACGAGGGCTGCCGTATATATTCAGAAGCTTTGGTAGATTTGTGTCGGGAAATGGATGCTGAGGCCATCAATCTCTGGACAGCAATCCAAGAAAGAAATGATTGGGCAAATGCTTGCTTCATGTAATAACTCTTCGCCGTTTAAGCCATTTTTTTTTTTTTTGAGGAAATAGTCCTTCTACACCCCCCGTTCTGAAGAATAAATAAGTTTTTTCACACCGCTATATTATAAGTTAATATTTTCATTCTAGAAAGTGCAAAAGCATTATGCGAATAATTATGCGACGATTGTGGGAAAGTTAAAAAATGCGAAGACATTCGCATAAACCCTTTGCACTTTCTAATATGAATATGCGATAGTTATATATGAACCATTCGAATAACCTTCACATTTTCTGAGGTGAAAAAGTTAAATTGTTAGCGGGTATAATCTTCAGGCGCGGTGTAAAAGAAATTTGCCTTACATTTTTTATTTATTTATTTCTTTTTATCGATTCGGTGAATCGTGAAAGTTATTTTTTATTATTAAATCGTGCAGAGATGGAATCCACTTGTCATCCGAAGGTTGCAAAATTGTGGTGAAGGAGATTCTTAAGGTACTCAAAAAGGTCGATTGGGAGCCGAGTCTGTATTGGCTTACAATGCCAACCGAATTTCCCGAGAACTCACGGTATTACGTAGTTGGCCCTGATGGTAAAACCACACATAATGTTACCAGCCATATTTGTGCTTGGCAAAAGGAGTGGCTCAATGTTTAATGCAATAGGGCAAAATTATCAAGTGTAACATTTACAACTTTTTATACAATTTCGATTTTTTTCAGATGAGCACAATCGTCTCATTGGTCATGGGACTACAAAGATTTTTATAAGTGTAATTCATATTTAAGAGCCCACGGCTCGGATGAATCGATCCTTCTCTATATATATATATATTTTTTTTTGAAGTGATAGATTTTACAAGTCTCAAAGGGAGATTTACAATGAAGACTGAAGGAATAAATAGCCCTATCAAAGCATCAAAGAGGTGGAATCGGGAGAAATGTTAACTGTAACATCATAGACAAAACAATACCAACTAGAATTGGGTCCAAACAATTCGACAAAATGTTAACTGTAACATCATAGACAAAACAATACCAACTAGAATTGGGTCCAAACAATTCGACAAAGACTAGACACGCTCAAGACCGGAGTGTTGGAGCCCACTCCATACAAAATAACGAACTAAATACTCCAACAAGTAGAAAAACAAGTAGAAAACCCAAACAAAAGAAACTAATACAGACCTAATCTAACTATAATCTAACTATAAACCACTGCCTACCAACTACCGAAGGCAACCCACAACAGAACCCAAACAAATACAAAGCCATACCCCACAAATGACAACCGCGAACAGGACCAAGAGCGCAACAGAACCAGACCCACGAACTAAAAACTGCACGGAAGCGACTAGGTAGAAGCAGCTCCATATCTGCCAAGCCTGCAGTCACTGGTCGAGGAAGAAGGAAGGCCCAAAGGGTTCTGCTCCGAGCAACG